ATGTGTTTGTTAGCCATCTGAATGTCGTCTTCGGTGAAGTGCCTGTTCATATCCTGTGCCCATTTTTCTATTGGATTATTTACCTTTATCTTGTTGTGGTAAGAATGGTTTTTTAAAATGTATTTTTTATTTTCTACTAGTTTACCTCACCCATCAAATTGTACAACTTGATGATTAATCCCCCTCCTCCGCCCTGCACTTCTACATCCCTCTGCTTCCAACCTCTCCCACCCCTTTCGATCCTCTTACTTATTCTACAATAATGGTTTTATATAATATTTATCCTTGTGGGACTGAGTTAGTTCACTCAGCATAATGCTCCCCAGTCCCTCGCAAGTTAGGGTTTAATTTACAAAATCATTGCTCCTGCATGCTGCACAGTATTCCATTGTGTGAATGTACCATAATTTCTCCATCCATTCGTTTGTGGTTTGACATTTGGGCTGTTACCACGTTTTTATGATGGTGAATAATGCTGCTATGAACACTGCTATACAAATCTCAGTTTGTGCCTCAGTTCTTATATTCTCAGGCTATATTCCAAGTAGTAGAATAGCTGGGTCATGTTCAGCTTTTTGAGGAAGAGCCAGACACAATCTCACCAACAATCTTATCTCTTTTTAGGAAGTAGGAAGTGTAGACATTATGACCTCATTATAGTTTATCTTGAATATGGCTTAAATCTACTAATTATCTAATTCTTGCCCTAAAACTTATTTCCCACAGGTTTTTTTTTTCCTTGAAAATGACTTCGTTTTCCCATTTGAAACAAAAAGATATGTTAATAGACTCACGTTTTTGGTGATATTTGGATTTTTTATTAATGATTTTTTAATGCAACGTATATATCTTTTTACAGCATATTGTTTCCATTTAATTTTTCTCCATTCATTCATTGTTGCACATTTCCCTCCCTGCCTGCTCCTTCCTCCAGTTCGTTTTTCTCTTTGAAGAGAAAAAAAAATAATTATTTCATTGTTATATAATCCTCCCCACCCCCAAATCTACTGTCTACTTTAACATGCATTTCTTTTTTTCTGTAATCTTGTCATGAAAATAATATCCAACTTTATATTCCTTTTAAACAGTTCTCCCCCTCATCTGTTTCAATGCAGTATATATTATTTATCCCCTCTTCTTTTAGGTTCCCCTCAACTGCGATGTCAGTCCCATTTTACAACAGTAAATACTATGCAGTATTTGTTCGTTTGTGGCTGAGATTTCACTCATCTAATGTCCTTCAGGGTCACCCATTTTGTATAATATTTCATGAGTTCTTTCTCTTTCAGTGCAGCATAATATTTCATTGTGTGAATATCCCACAGCTTCTCTACCCATTTGTTTGTTGATGGGCACTTGGGTTGTTTCCAATCTATTGCTATTGTGAACAAAGCCGCAGTAAACATGGGTGTGCATATATCTGCATGGGTGGCAGTTACGGTTTCTTTAGGGTATATTCCCATTAGTGGAATTGCTGAGTCAATTGCTATTTCTGTTTGCAACTTTTTGAGAAAGCTCCATACAGCCTTTCATAGTGGTTGCACCATTTTACACTGCCACCAACAGTGAATAAGGGTTCCAGTTTCTCCACAACTCGCCAGGATTTACTGTTAGCTGCTCTGTTGAATTTTGCTATTCTTACTGGGGTTAGATGATATCTTATAGTTGTTTTGATTTGTTTCTCTCTTAGAGCTAGGGATTTTGAACATTTCTTCATGTATTTGCTGGCCATTTGAATGTCTTCAGGGGGAACCTGAATGGAAAACCAGAAATCCTTGGTTTTCCCCTTGAGAACTGGGTCTGCCACCCCAGTCAAGCTTCAGCTGCCCCACTCCTTCCTGCTTAAGGTGATGGGGTCCCACAATCGGTCCAGCAATCAGCTGTGATCCCGCCTAAGTACCTCACTCAAATTCCCACTGTCGTGCTTACTCCTGGTGCGTGGGTCCCGCTGTGGGTCACTGCTCCCCACCACGACTTGCTGTTCCCTGCCAGGGTGTGCTGCACCCCATTGGGGCTCACTGCACCTAGCCAACAGTTGATGCTCCTGTGGCTCTCAAATGTCTGTGTTGGTCCTCAGAAATGTTTTGAGAGGCACTTATATAGTTGTGCTTCCTTTTTGGCTCGAAAACAGTTTTCCCCCCAAAGTACCTGAATGACCTCTGGAAGTGGCTTCTCAGCTCTGTCGAGGTGGCCAAGACCCTGCTGCCTAAGTTAAGGAGTCCCACATGGTCAAATCAGACAGCAGTTTCCCCCCCAGAGTATTTGAATGACCAAGGAGGAAGCAGATGGGAGATGCATGCAGGTGATGAGATGCCGATATTTGTAAAAGTTAGGGACTTAATTTTCCCTGTATGTGTATATCTATTATTTCTTCTGTATGACATGTTTGTTTCATCAGTTAATTGATTTTTTTTCTCAGTTAAAATTCAACTTTATAGTCATTATTAGGAAATTTATATAAGGATGTGGTAAGAATTTATTGAACAGAAGTCTAGTTTATTTAAACAAATGCAAAACAAATTCTGAACTATAAATGAAGGTATAAATTGTCTAACTGTATATTAATTTTTTTAAGATTTTTTTTTTATTGTGTCATCAACATGCATTCCTTTTTTAGGTATTGTTTTGCTGTTTGCTTTTGTATCTCCATATTACAGGAATGTTGACATCATTTAAATTTCTGCTTTTTCGAAATGATGATTCAGACTAATAAAAAAATAAGGTTATTATCAAAATTTTGCACTGTGTTTTAGAAAGAAAAGGAAAAAAAAAAGGAGGAGAAAAAGAGAGAAAAGGAGCCAGAAAAGCCTGCAAAACCTCTTACAACTGAAAAGGTAAAATTTCTTTTTTTAAAAAGGTATAATGATGGCAGTCTTATTTGTATGCTTATATGTGAATTACTTCTCAAGTATTAGTGATATGCAAATTATAATTAAACTCATGTTTACTTAATTTATTAAGGGAATGTGCTAAGTATGTCCTTTTATCTGTCTTATATGATTTATAAGGAGCTCTCTTGGCCTAGTGGTAAAGAGCTGCTCTGCCATCCCAAATACATTGTTTTTGTTAACGTGCTTTCGAGTTGCCTGTGACTCATAGCAACCCTATGTACAAGAGCCCTAAATCCTGCTCTGTCTTGTGCCAATCTTACTGGTTTTTTGTGTTTTGGGTTTTTTTGGCTGAGTACCATGTACTTGATGGTACATGACAAGATGGGCTCTCCAACCCCTCCCCTTTCTCAGGGGTATGGATGAAAACTGTGTCAAGGATGTGAGATTCTCAGTGTGTGGGAGGATCAAGTTGGGGCAAGGACTCCCCAGCAGCTCAGGGTCTCTCTCTCTCTCGCCCCCCCCCCCGCCCCCCTAGTGCTATTGCTGGGGCTGTGTTCCTAGGGGCTCTTACTCTTTGGAGGGCATGTGAACCATCAGACTGACCACCTGATTGCTGTAGCCAAATTCATTGTCATACCAGTGAATGAGTTTAACATATTGGTCATTCATGGCAATGCCAGCCCCAGCATCAAAGGTGGAAGAGTGAGCTTCACTGTTAAAGTCACAGGAGACAACCTGGTCTTCAGTGTATCACACGATGCCCTTGAGGGGTCCTTCTGATCCATGCTTTACTACTTTCTCCATGTCATCATATTTGGTAGCTTTCTCCAGACAGCAGATCAGGTCCACAGGTCAGGTTGGGGACACAGAAAGCCATGCTGGTAAGTTTCCCATTCAGTTCAGAGCTGACCTTGCCCACGGCCTCGGCAGTGCCAGTAGATGCAGGAGTGATGTTCCGGGCAGCTCCACAGCCATCATGCCACAGCTTTCTAGAGGCGCCATGCACAGTCTTCTGGGTGGCAATGAATCCCTCTATGATGCTGGATTTTCATGGATGACCTTGGCCAGGGGAGCCAAGCAGTTGGTGGTGCAGGAGGCATTGCTGACAATCTTGAGAGAGTTGTCATACTTTTCGTGGCTCACGCCCATCACAAACATGGGGGCATTGACAGAAGGAGCAGAGATGATTATCCGTTTGGCACCACCCTTCAAGTGAGCCCCTAGTCTTCCCCAAGGTTGTGAAGACACCAATGGACTCCACAACATACTCAGCACAAGCATCACCCCACTTGATGTTGGCAGGATCTCTCTTCTGGAAGATAGTGAAGGCTTTCCCATTGATGACCAGCTTCCCAATCTCAGCCTTGACAGTGCTGTTGAACTTGCCGTGGGTGAAATCCTATTGGAACATATAGACCATGTAGTTGAGGTCAATGACGGGATCACTGATGGCAACAATATCCACTTTGTTAGAGTTAAGAGCAGCCCTGGTGACCAGGCGTCCAGTGTGGCCAAATCTGTTTACTCTGACCTTCACCATTGTGTCTCAGGGATGCAGCTTAGGCTGCTCGAGAACAGAGGACAATCTTGATCGACGAGGAGCAGAGAGTCACTGAATCTTGTCATCTCACTGAGAGTCTTCCTCTCCTGTGCTGTCCCTCCACCCTCCCAAGCATGACTTCACTTTCCAGGGACTTATCCCGCCTTGCAGCATGTCCAACATATATCAGATGAAGCTTCAGAATCCTTGCCTCTAAGGAGCAGCCTGGCTTCACCCTCTTTAGGATGAACTTGTTTGTTCTCTTAGCAGTCTGTGATATATTCAGTATTCTTCTCCATCACCAGAGCTCATGGTTTGAATTCACCAGCTGCTCCATGGGCGAAAGATAGGCAGTCTACATGATTTAACTGCCTCTGAAACATGCTAGAGGGTCTGTTATCAGTTGGTTCCAACTTGATGGTACACAACAGCAGCAGCAGCATAATATTCATATGCTTGTGTTGTTGCTATATGCTGTTGATACGATTTATAATAAATTTATGTGTTGTGTTGGCCATGTGAATTCTTTCAGGAGAAGTACATTAATGGCATAAAAGATAGTATTTTTTTAGTTCTCATATATTTAATCTTACCAGGGACATAATTTGTGTTAAGTGATATAGTTAAACTTACATGGATTTTTAGAGAATGAAATTGTTGTTTACTGTAGCATCAGAACCAACTCATAGCTGGCTCTCTGGCTGGTTTTCAGAGGCACTTAATCACATGGGAGGAAATGATCCACCTTTCTCCTGTGCAACAGCTGGTGGCCTCGACCCTTGTGCCTTCGAGATTGCAGTGCAGCTTCTTGCCACTAGGCCACCAGAGCTCCCTAGAGAATGAAGAGATCTTTTAAAAAGACCTTGAAGCGCAATTAATCTATACAAAGAAAATTACAAAACATTACTACAAGAAACGAAAAGAGACCTGGAGAAGTTGAAGAATATTCCTTGCTCATGGATAGGAAGACTAAATATTGTGAAAATGACAATACTACCTAAGGCAATTTACACATTCAATGCAATACCGATACAAATACCAATCCCATTCTTCAATGAGATGGAAAAGGCTTTCTCCAATTTCATTTGGAATGAAAAGAGGCCCCAAATAAGCAATGCACTCCTTAAAAAGAGAAGGCATCTCACTCCCTGATTTCAAATCCTACTACATAGCCGTGGTGGTCATGACAGAGTGGTACTGGTACAATGACATACTCATAGATCAATGAGATAGAATTGAAAATCCAAAAATCAGCCCATCTACCTATGGTCAATTGATTTTTGATAAGGAGATGAAATCAGTCAAGTGGGGAATCAACAACCTTTTTAACAAATGGTGCTGGCAAAATTGGAAAACTATCTGCAGAAAACTCAAGCAAGATCCACATTTCACTCCATACACAAAAAAAACTCAAAGTGAATCATGGACCTAGGACTAAAATCAAGGACTATAAACCAAGTTCATTAAAGAAAAGCTTGGTAGAACTCAAGAAGTCCTAATCCACAATGTAAACAGTCTTCCAAGCATCCTGAAAAATCTTCAACCAGAAGAGGATAAAATAGATGAAAGGGACCTTCTAAAAGTCAAATCCCTATGCACATCCAAAAACTTCTCCAACAAGGTAAAAAGGGAAGCCACAGACTGGGAAAAAATATTTGGTAATGACATGTCTGACAATGGACTTATATTTAGAATTTATAAAATACTCGAGCATCACAACAAGATAAAGGTAAATAACCCAATTGAAAAATGGGCACAAGATATAAATAGACACTTCACCGAAGAAGACATTCAGATGGCAAACAAACAGTGAAGAAATATTCAAAATCCCTAGCTCTAAGAGAGATGCAAATCAAAACAACTATGACATATTGTCTCACCCCAGTAAGAATAGTAAACTTTAATAGAACAGCAAGCAACAAATGCTGGTGAGGTTGTGGAGAAACTGGAACCATTATTCACTGTTGGTGGGAGTGTAAAATGGTGTAACCAGTATGGAAGGCAGTGTGGTGCTTTCTCAAAAAGTTGCAGATTGAAATACCATTTGACCCAGCAGTTCCACTACTGGGAATATACCCCAAAGAAACCCTAACTGCCACCCAAACAGATACATGCACACCTGTGTTTATTTTGGCTTTGCTCACGATAGCAAAGAGCTGGAAATAACCCAAGTGCCCATCAACAAACAAATGGATAGAGAAGCTGTGATATATTCACACAATGAAATACTATGTAGCATTGAAAAACAAGGAACTCATGAAATATTACACAAAATGGGCGACTCTGGAGGACATTATGCTGAGTGAAATATCTCAGTCACAAAAAGACAAATACAGCTTAATGTCAATGTTATAAAAGAGGACAGACATTGGGTTTAGGGGGAAACTGAGAAAGATGAGATAAATGATATATACTTCATTGAAACAGATGAGGGATAGAACTGTTTAAAAGGGATATATGATTAGATATATTATTGTTATGATAAGAGTCCAGAACGAAGGTAGCATAGAGGAGTGAACTTGTGGGGAGGGATTGAAAATGAAAGAATTTTTTTTTAACTTTTCAAAAAGAAAAGCGAATTGTGGGGGAGAGGTGGGCAGGGAGAAAAGTGCAACAGTGAATGAATGTAAATCCAAAGTCTCTGTAAACTTTCATTAAAATTTTTTTTTTAAAAAAAAAAGACCTCAAAAATGACTATATACTGAAAATTAGCATTTGAATTACATATTGAAGTGAAGGCCTGAATACATCAGGTGGAGAAAATACCTTGGAAAAAGCCATAGAAATGGGGAAAAGAAATAATAATTTTAGAAAAATATTAAGCAAAATAATTTAAAGAAAGGTGTATGTCTTTGTATAGGAAAAGCCTCAGAATGACAGGTTGAGCTCAAATTCTAGAGTATCTTAAATTCCAGCTTGAGATGTTTTATTGCTTTGGGGAGGAAAGACTTGTGGGCAGCAGTTTCAAGTTTTGAAGAAGGTGATGTACTAAATTCAGAAAGATAATTTTAAAAGGTTAATTTGGCAGTGATATGTGGGATAATTATAATGAGGAATTTGAAGTAGGAACTGTCATTAGACTCCTTATGGATTGATTATTTATAGTGACTTGGCTTATAGTTCAGTTCATTATACTGGTTTAGCAAAGGGATTTTCTGTGGAGGGAACAACTTTGATTTTAGTGTTGGAATTTTTAAAAGTGTTTTATTGAAGTATAAATTTTCTAAAGATCAGGAGATATAATGCATTGGGAATATCTGCTGTCAGGGGCCTCTCCAGATTACTGAGGAACAATAATGTCAGTTTGAAGAGTAAGGTATGCCTGATTCAGGCCTTGGACTTTTAGTCACTTGGTGTGAATCTGAGAGGTGGACAATGAATAAGGATGGTAGAAGAATTGATGCACTTGAACTTTGGTATTGGAGAAGAGTACTGAATATCCCATGGACTGCTAAAAGAACAA